ATTAATATTGATTCCGAGAAACGATTGGCGACATGACTGTGTGATGAAAGATCTGGGGACGTGATAATGATGGTCAAATCCCGTCATTTTCAACTCTCGTCGCTTTGTAGCGAACTGTAGAAATATCAGGGGACGGTGAATTTTATATGAACCTATGTATGCGGAGCTATTGAGGAAGTATCGACATCGTTAGTGTGTGTTGGGCGCCCTCTGTGATACTCGACTTGGCCACGGTTACTTATGCTGGGATAGAACTGGCTTCTCGCGACATCCCCCTATCGCTGCCGTCACAGCCGTCATTGGGTGCGTTCGCATGGAGTTATCTCAATGGACACTTTCTTAAGCAAAACAGGTTGGTTGTATTTACATGTAAGTTTTTTATAAGTGGATTTTTAATTTGGCACTGTATTTAGAACTTGCTTTAGTTCCTCAGTATATTTGCCACACAAATGATCTGATTTATGTGCGTTCTAGATTTGGCAGTGACGGAACTGTCCACAGGCTCAGTGTACGATATTCAGTATTTAATGACTTCGTTATCAAATATAGGGACCGTATATTGGGCAAGAAATGCTAAATTGCTTTCACTCGTCCTAATAATTCCAGTCTGGTCTCTGAATTATATATGACATAAGTACAGTTGCCGTCTATGTAAGCGAAGGATTGACTGGGATGCTGGAGTAGATCACACAGGGTTTGTACCTGTCTCGCCCGTCACTGCATGTGTAGGCCATACCCATAGACAATCGTGTAGGTAGACACAACTATATGCCTTTGGCATTGTGGTCCCGCCGGGGATTAGTCCCGTCATTGACACACACCACCTGTCATCAGGCACGTGCTTCCACACGTCAAACAAAAATATAGGTGTCGTTAATTTGTTTGTGACTAATTAATGACAATTCATATTAGAGGACACCTTGTCGTGTGACCAGATGGTGCCGTACAAAATACTGTACATATTCCAGGGAGCCAGGTAGCTCCGTCTACCTTTTGGCGAACTCGCAATATTTCTATCTATTTAGCGATAATTTAACACACATAATCTTCCCTATCAGCGTATTTGTCATGCTTAAATAACTTACTACCCGATCAATTACGCCCAGAGTTACAATTGCCCATACATAATATATTGACGAAAACCAGCGGGCGTTTTGTTGCTCGCCTGATCCACCCGACGCTGCATAATTGATTGCCAATTTTGTCAGAGTGTAGTCAGCATGGAGCCTAAACGGTTCCTCGCTCCCTGATAGCTTTGTTATCTATGCACGACCTATTTATGGAAAACCATTGTCACTTTCCGTCAGAATCTTTCTTAAAAGATTGTAGTTTTATTTTAAACATATTTTATTATGGAAATGAAAGAATGGATTGGTAAACTAATTCTACCAAGATTGGTAGCTCTCTGCCGGAAAGTATAAAGGATAGTTAATAATAACAATTAAAAATAGTGGTGGCATTTTGTGATTATGAAACGCTTCTGTCTATGGTAAATGTGAAGGTTTCCAACTTTCCTATAATCCATCTTAATCAAAACACTGTACATTATGACTAACGTGTCTATAAAGAACTTGGAATTGTCATCGACAATTTGACGGGTTTTTCACTATCCATTGCCATTATTTTAACCTTTTTAAATCATTAGATTTGAAGTTGATATATTTCGAAAAAAAACATCCGTGAAGATGACACGGTTATTAATTTGAAAGATATCTTTATTGCATGAAAAGATATTTTATTCCATTTATACATGTAGCTACCACTTTTTCATTTAAAGATATCTATTTTTTATTGATGAGATCTTTAAATGTAGAAGAGACATATCTTGATGATTAAGTTATATACTAATTGAAATAAAGGTTCCTTTGTTAAACTGTGTATTTAGTATATCGCATCCATTCAAAAATATCTTAATCAAACTCAAAGACATGCTTACTTTAATAAGATATGAGATTTCTCTTAATGATCCCAGTCCCACTGCAGGCAAATCACTATAGCATTTCGCTGTAGGTATTCGTACGTATAATACATTTCGCTGTAGGTGTTCGTACGTATAATACATTTCGCTGTAGGTGTTCGTACGTATAATACATTTCGCTGTAGGTGTTCGTACGTATAATACATTTCGCTGTAGGTGTTCGTACGTATAATACATTTCGCTGTAGGTGTTCGTACGTATAATACATTTCGCTGTAGGTGTTCGTACGTATAATACATTTAGCTGTAGGTGTTCGTACGTATAATACATTTCGCTGTAGGTGTTCGTACGTATAATACATTTCGCTGTAGGTGTCCGTACGTACAATACATTTCGCTGTAGGTGTTCGTATGTATAATACATTTCGCTGTAGGTGTTCGTACGTATATTAACCGTCCTTACTATCGTTTAAGATGACTTTGTCATTGCGTAAGCGGTTACAAATTTACTCTGTTGGTTAGAGCGACAATCCCTTAATTGGAATGCTGGGCAAATATTTTCAACGCATATTTAAATTGTTAGGTTGTGAAACAAATGTAGCAAGATACATAAACCTACCTGCTCCGGGCACTGATTGTCATTTATCACATAATGTACTGTGCTATCCAATGAATATACACATGCCATCATTTTTAGCGTATTAACCCAGTAATATGACCTATCAGCCCTGTGATTGGTTGCAAATTTCAATTGTTTCAATTGTGACCTCATGCTTATGACAAGTACATGACGTCACAGACTTATGCACTGGGTCAAAATGGCGGCTTTTTACATGTCAAGGTTGCATGAAAATTGTCGTTTTACACGAATAAATGCCACGAATCTTGTTTATGTGATAAAAAGGATCTTACACTCGTTTTCATTTCATATGAAATTTATGAAATTCGTCACGAACTTTTCATTTTAGCTCGCCTAAATTGAAAAATTCTAAGACTTGTTTCATAAATCTCATATGAAATGGAAACTCATGTAAGATGCTTTATTTATAATTAATTTTACGGAATTGAAATGTTGCTTGTTCTTGTATTTTGTTTATTTCTATATTTGTTGTGGACTAGGTTTGTTGTATATGGTTACAGTTTACATTTTCGCGTTATTCATCATTTTTACAACCCCATGTTCCAACCTCAACCCCTTTAGTATCTAACACTGTTTTATGGCTCTTTCCGACTGAGGAAGGTTTTCCATGGCTAGATCTCCAGGGAATGTAAATTATGTCCAAGTCTACCTGGTTATAGGGTGCAGAGAATCTTTTGTAAGGAAACTTATAATTTTGTTGGTTGTATACATTTTTCTTTTCTTTTACCATTTGTTTAAACATAATATCTGCTTAGTATGTCTGAAACCAGTGCATTCAGTATTGTGTATCATTGACAACTACAGAAAACAAACTGCTGGTGTTCCGTAGGAAACTTTAGAATCAAAGCATTCACTCAAACTAATTGATCTCCCAAATCCAAGGGTTTCACTTCCAAAACGAAGTTTGGATAATTATTCCAGAGCAAACTATAGAGAATTTCAGTTGAATTTCAAAGTTGCATTTAATTGTACATCAGGTGATTTTCATCATGCCGGACGCTCATTGGTTGCTAATAATAAATTTTATTTCTCTTAATAAAATCATGCTGATCTAAATATTTGTTCATATCTAATAAGCTCACCTTCGCTCAGCATGGACAGAGATAAAATTGCAGTATTAAAAAGGCCTAGCACGTAGAGCTGAGGATTTTATTTATCTAAATAATAAAAAACTATGTGTAAAAACTGATGTAGTTCAGCATTTAGTTTCATAAAGCCTATTTGATTATTTTTTTGTAGATTTATCAGAATTGAAATAATTATAATTATAAAAATTAGACTTTCTGTCCCTACTGAACATCCAACCATTTTGGATCACAGGACCACTATGTTTGACCAGCAGCATGCTAGGAGCGAGGAGTCAGTTTGTTCAAATGGACGACCTTTATTTTCAAAGTCTCAGTTTTAAATTTGTTAAAATCGTTTAAAGACATTTTTCGCTCTAAATAACCAAGATGAAGAGAGTCACAACGTTTGTCATGTGTCCTGCTACAGGTAGGAAATGATATTGTGAAACGTTAATTTTTGCCCTGGCTCTGGTTGAAATGCCTTTAACCATATAACTGCCATGATAGTCTCCAGAGCAATAGTTAAGTAACCCCTAGAGGAAACCATTTAAGTCATTGCCGTGTTCTGACGTATTTCTAGTGAGTATTTGACACAAAGTATAGCTACACTTTTACATTTCTCAATTAGTGTATGTGTTGAGTATTAACCGAAATCACATGGACTCAGATCGACCCACATCGGCCCCCGTCAGTTACCGGGACATGTGAATCGGCACTATAATACCCCTATCCCCATTCCACTTACCGCGCCCCCCCCCCCCCTTAGGTAGTTCACATAATTTAATAAATAAAACAAATAAAGGGTTTACATTATGTACACGTACATGTAAAAAGGATTAAAAAAACACAATGTAAAAAATAGATAAATAAAATATCTGTATACTGCTATATTTGTGAAGGATATGTGCTACCCAATAAGTATCCGCTATACATTGTATATGCTCTTCCATCATGTGTGAAATTTACCACCAATCAACTGGTCAGTTCCCCAGAGTAAAAACACAAACCCGCACCAACTAGAAATACTACTTAGCAAAGACATGGAAATAATAAACACCACTTAAGGAAATACCAGCTTCTATTTGCCGTCATTAGATTTGTTGATCAGGGAATATTCAAAGCAAGCCAAACACTTGTAACACCTACAGAGGCATTAAGTGTAGTCACTGATTGACGAGTAGACGCTATCTTACCATCGCTTCTAATGTATCTGATATCGAAGAAAATTTCCCTTGGTAGGAGTTAAGCGTTACGTCATCAAGTACCGTTCCACGGTGGTAATGATATGGTTAAATTCAATGTCAAGGAAAAAAAGTCAGGTGAGAGGTACCTGTAGAGAAAGGGTGAAACGGAGATGCCGAGGAGTAAACAGGAGTATGGTGAAGTCTGGGAGAAACAAGCACATGAATGTAGGTGGAAGTAACTTAAACAGGGATGATGCTGGTAGTAACATAGACAGGGATGATGCTGGGAGTAACATAGACAGGGATGATGCTGGGAGTAACATAGACAGGGATGATGCTGGGAGTAACATAGACAGGGATGATGCTTTGAGTAACATAGACAGGGATGATGCTTTGAGTAACATAGACAGGGATGCTGCTGTGAGTATCATAGACAGGGATGATGCTGGGAGTAACATAGACAGGGAGGATACTGCTAGTAACATAGACAGGGATGATGCTTCGAGTATCATAGACAGGGATGATGCTGGGAGTAACATAGACAGGGGTGATGCTGGGAGTAACATAGACAGGGATGATGCTGGGAGAAACATAGACAGGGATGATGCTTTGAGTAACATAGACAGGGATGATACTGGGAGTAACATAGACAGGGATGATGCTGCTAATAACATAGACAGGGATGATGCCGAGAGTAACATAGACAGGAATGATGCTTTGAGTAACATAGACAGGGATGATGCTGGGAGTTACATAGACAGGGATGATGCTTTGAGTAAAATAGACAGGGATGATACTGGGAGTAACAAAGACAGGGATGATGCTTTGAGTAATATAGACAAGGATGATGCCGAGAGTCACATAGACAGGGATGATGCTTTGAGTAACAGCGACAGGGATGATACTGGGAGTAACATAAACAGGGATGATACTGGGAGTAACAAAGACAGGGATGATGCTTTGAGTAATATAGACAGGGATGATACTGGGAGTAACATAGCCAGGGATGATGCTTTGAGTAACATCGACAGGGATGATACTGGGAGTAAAATAAACAGGGATGATACTGGGAGTAACATAGACAGGGATGCTGCTTTGAGTAACATAGACAGGTATGATGCTGAGAGTAACATAGACAGAGATGATGGTGGGAGTAACATAGACAGGGATGATGCTGGGAGAGTAACATAGACAGGGATGATGCTGGGAATAACATAGACAGGGATGATGCTGGGAATAACATAGGCAGGGATGATGCTGGGAGGAACAGAGACAGGGATGATACTGCTAGTAACATAGACAGGGATGATGCTTGGAGTATCATAGACAGGAATGATGCTTTGAGTAACATAGACAGGTATGATACTGGGAGTAACATAGACAGGGATGATGATTTGAGTAACATCGACAGGGATGATACTGGGAGTAACATAACCAGGGATGATACTGGGAGTAACATAGACAGGGATGCTGCTTTGAGTAACATAGACAGGGATGATGCTGGGAGAGTAACATAGACAGGGATGATGGTGGGAGGAACATAGACAGGGATGACGGTGGGAGTAACATGGATGATGGTGGGAGTAACATAGATAGGGATGATGGTGGGAGTAACATAGACAGGGATGATGCTGAGAGTAACATAGACAGAGATGATGGTGGGAGTAACATAGACAGGGATGACGGAGGGAGTAACATAGACCGGGATGATGCTGAGAGTAACATATACAGGGATGATACTGGGAGTAACAAAGACAGGGATGATGCTTTGAGTAACATAGACAGGGATGATGCCGAGAGTCACATAGACAGGGATGATGCTTTGAGTAACATCGACAGGGATGATGCTGGGAGTAACAAAGACAGGGATGATGCTTTAAGTAACATAGACAGGGATGATACTGAGAGTAACATAAACAGGGATGATACTGGGAGAAACATAGACAGGGATGCTGCTTTGAGTAACATAGACAGGAATGATGGTGGGAGTAACATAGAAAGGGATGATACTGGGAGTAACATAGAAAGGGATGATACTGGGAGTAACATAGACGGGGATGCTGCTTTGAGTAACATAGACAGGTATGATACTGGGAGTAACATAGACAGGGATGATGCTTGGAGTATCATAGACAGGGATGATGCTTTGAGTAACATAGACAGGCATGATGGTGGGAGTAACATAGACAGGGATGACGGTGGGAGTAACATAGACAGGGATGCTGGTGGGAATAACATAGACAGGGATGACGGTGAGAGTAACATAGACAGGAATGATGGTGGGAGTAACATAGACAGGGATGACGGTGGGAGTAACATAGACAGGGATGATGCTGGGAGTAACATAGACAGGGATGCTGGTGGGAGTAACATAGACAGGGATGATGCTGGGAGTAACATAGACAGGGATGATGGTGGGAGTAACATAGACAGGGATGATGGTGGGAGTAACATAGACAGGGATGATGGTGGGAGTAACATAGACAGGGATGATGCTGGGAGTAACACAGAGAGGGATGATGCTGGTAGTAACATAGACAGGGATGATGCTGCGGTAACATAGGCAGGGATAATGCAGGTAGTAACATAGACAGTGATAAGGCCGTGATTAACACAGAGAGGGATGATGCTGGAAGTAACATAGACAGGGACGATGCTGCTAATAACATAGACAGGGATAATGCTGGTAGTAACATAGACAGTGATGATGCTGGGAGTAACATAGACAGGGATTAGGCTGAAAGTAACGTAGACATTGATGATGCTGGGAGTAACATAGACAGGGATGATGCTGGGAGTAACATAGACAGTGATAAGGCTGGGAGTAACATAAACAGGGATAATGCTGGGAGTAACATAGACAGTGATCAGGCTGAGAATAACATAGACGGGGATGATGGTTGGAGTAACATAGACAGGGATGACGGTGGGCGGAACATTGACAGGGATGATGCTAGGATTAACATATACAGGAATGATGCTGGGAGTAACATAGACATGGATGATGCTGGGAGTAACATAGACAGGGATGATGCTAGGATTAACATATACAGGGATGATGCTGGGAGTAACATAGACATGGATGATGCTGGGAGTAACATAGACAGTGATAAGGTCGGGATTAACATAGACCGGGATGAGGCTGGTAGTAAAATAGACAGGGATGATGGTTGGAGTAACATAGACAGGGATGATGCTGGGAGTAACATAGACAGTGATAAGGTTGGAAAAAACATAGACAGAGATGATGCTGGTAGTAACTTAGACATGGATGATGCTGGGAGTAACACAGAGAGGGATGATGTTATTAGTAACATAGACAGAGATGACGCTGGGAGTAACATAGATAGAGATGATGCTGGGAATAACATAGACAGTGATAAAGCAGGGAGTAACATAGACAGGGATGATGCTGGGAGCAACATAGACAGGTATGATGCTGTGAGTAACATGGACAGAGATGATGCTGGGAGTAACATAGACAGGGATGATGCTGGGAGCAACATAGACAGGGATGATGCTAGGATTAACATATACAGGGATGATGCTGGGAGTAACATAGACGGGGATGATGCTGGGAGTAATATAGACAGTGATAAGGTCGGGATTAACATAGACCGGGATGAGGCTGGTAGTAACATAGACAGGGATGATGCTGGGAGTAACATAGACAGTGTAAAGGTTGGAAAAAACATACACAGAGATGATGCTGGGAGTAACATAGACAGAGATGATGCTGGTAGTAACCTAGACAGTGATAAGGTCGGGATTAACATAGACAGGGATGATGCTGAAAGTAACACAGAGAGGGATGATGCTATTAGTAACATAGACAGAGATGACGCTGGGAGTAACATAGACAGAGATGATGCTGGGAGTAACATAGACAGTGATAAGGTCGGGATTAACATAGACAGGGATGATGCTGGGAGTAACATAGACAGTGATAAGGCTGGGAGTAACATAGACAGGGATGCTGCTGGGGGTAACATAGACAGGGATGATGGTGGGAGTAACATAGACAGAGATGATGCTGTGAGTAACATGGACAGGGATGATGCTGTGAGTAACATAGACAGGGATGATGCTGTGAGTAACATGGACAGGTATGATGCTGTGAGTAACATGGACAGGGATCAGGCTGGTAGTAACAAAGACAGTGATCAGGCTTGGAGTAACATAGACAGGTATGATGCTGTGAGTAACATAGACAGGGATGATGCTGGGAGCAGCATAGACAGGTATGATGCTGTGAGTAACATAGACAGAGATGATGATGGGAGTAACATAGACAGGGATGATGCTGGGGTAACATAGACAGGGATGATGGTGGGAGTAACATAGACAGGGATGATGCTGTGAGTAACATAGACAGGGATGATGCTGTGAGTAACATAGACAGGGATGATGCTGGGGGTAACATAGACAGGCATGATGGTGGGAGTAACATAGACAGGGATGACGGTGGGAGTAACATAGACAGGGATGATGGTGGGAATAACATAGACAGGGATGACGGTGAGAGTAACATAGACAGGGGGGAAACAAGAACAGACACGAGGATTGGGGAAAACAGGGACAGACAGGAGGCTATTGGACATATGGACAGATACGAGGCTTTGGGAAACAGGGACAGATACGAGGCTTGGGGAAACAGGGACAGACAAGAGGATGGGTGAAACAGGGACACAGACACGAGGCTGGGGAAAACAGGGAAAGATACGAGGCTGGGGGAAACAGGGACAGACACGAGGATGGGGGAAACAGGAACAGACACGAGGCTGGGTGAAACAGGGACACAGAAACGAGGCTGGGGAAACAGGGACAGACATGTGGTAGATGGAGACAGGGACATACACGATGCTGGGGGAAACAGGGACAGACAAGAGGATGGGGGAAACAGGAACAGACACGAGGCTGGGGAAAACAGGGAAAGATACGAGGCTGGAGGAAACAGGGACAGACACGAGGCTGGGGAAACAGGGACAGACATGTGGTAGAGGGAGACAGGGACAGACACGATGCTGGGCGAAACAGGGACAGACACGATGTTGGGTGAAACAGGAACAGACACGAGGCTGGGGAAACAGGGACAGACATGTGGTAGAGGGAGACAGGGACAGACACGATGCTGGGCGAAACAGCGACAGACACGATGTTGGGTGAAACAGGAACAGATACGAGGCTGGGGAAAACAGGGACATACACGAGGCTGGGGGAAACAGCGACAGACACGAGACTGGGTTTAACAGGGACAGACACGAGGCTAGGGGAAAACAGGGACAGACATGAGGCTAGGGGACATATGGACAGATACGAGGCTTGGGGAAACAGGGACAGATACGAGGCTTGGTGAAACAGGGACAGACAAGAGGATGGGTGAAACAGGGACACAGACACGAGGCTGGGGAAACAGGGACAGACACGATGCTGGGGAAAACAAGGACAGACACGAGGCTGGGGGAAACAGCGACAGACACGAGGCTGGGTGAAACAGGGACAGATACGAGGCCGGGGGAATCAGGGACATATACGAGGTTGGGGAAACAGAGACATATACGAGGCTGGGGAAAACAATGACAGACACGAGGCTGGGGGAAACAGCGACAGACACGAGGCTGGGGGAAACAGGGACAAATACGAGGCTGTAGGAAACAAGGACAGATTCGATGCTTGGGAAAACAGAGATAGGCATTAGGTTGGGGGCAACAGGGATGGACACGTGGCTCGGGGTAACAGGGACAGACATGTGGTAAATGGAGACTGGGACAGACACGATGCTAGGGAAAACAGGGACAGATACGAGGCTCGGGGTAAAAGGGACAGACATGAGGTATAGGGAGACAGGGACAGACACGATGCTGGGGAAAACAAGGACAGATACGAGGTTGGGGGAAACAGGGACAGACATGAGGCTGGGGAAAATAGCGACAGACACGAGGCTGGGTGAAACAGGGACAGATACGAGGCTGTGGGAAACAGGGACAGACACGATGCTGGGTGAAACAGGGACAGATACGAGGCTGTGTGAAACAGGGACACAGGCACGAGGCTGGAGACACAGGGACAGACATGAGGCTAGGGGACATAGGGACAGATTGACCCTGGAGGAAACAGGGACAGACAAGAGGATGGGGGAAACAGGAACAGACACGAGGCTGGGTGAAATAGGGACAGACATGAGACTGGGGACACAGAGACCGACATGAGGCTAGGGGACACAGGGACAAATATGAGGCTAGAGGAAACAGGAACAGATATATTAGGCTAGGGGAAACAGGGACAGATATTCGGATCTGGGAAATGGGGACATATATTAGGCTCGGGAAACAGGGACAGATATTCGGATTTGGGAAATGGGGACAGACATGAGGTTTGGTGAAAAGGGGACTCGGAAGAGGCTGGGGAAACAGGGATACACATGAGGCATGTGGTAACCGGGAAAAGGAAGAGGCTGGACGAAACAGGCACAGGCATTAGGCTTTGGGAATTAGGGACAGACATAAAGATAGGGAAACAAGGACAGATATCAGGCTAGGGGTAACAGGGACATATATCAGGCTCGGGGTAACAGGGACAGGCATGAGGTATGGGGAGACAGGGACAATGTTGATGTTTGGGGGAACAGGGATAGTCAATAGGCTGGGGGAATCAGGGATAGACAATAGGCTGGGGGAAGGGGGCAGGGACAAACATGATGTTGGGGAAACAAATAGCTTGAAATCGCTGGAATACACCTTGAATACTCTCCAACCAGTGCTAAGATTATCTTTAAGTTATTTAATCGTAATAAACTTCCGTATCTCTTGATAGCTCACATACCTTTACTGAAAGCAACGCATTTGAATTCACCATCTAAACCTACAATAGGAAGTACTGTCTAAAAAAACACAAAACTAACCTCCAATTGAAGAGTTCCGCTTCCTGCCATTTACTAAAAATATGGCTGCCTCCAGATGTGACGTTTTCACGAGTAAATCACTAAGTAAGTGGTATTGAATTAATCTGTTATCTTCATTTCCAACTTGAAAAGCATTAGCATTTTAAAGGACAAAACACCATTTTATCACACTATCTATATATTGCATTTTATTAACATTTACCTGATTTCCCACTTTATGAGACCATAAATCAGGTGTCATCAGCACTATGCCATTACAATTAATACGTCATATTGAAATTCATTTGTTGAAAATCTAAACCTTAATTCTTAAGAAGAAAAGCAATTTATTGCAAAACTCAATGGAAATATAGACAAGTATTCACTCAGCGTTAATGTGCGTTATTCGATATGTATGCAATCCTGTTCAGAATCATAGGATTGTAGTTGAATGTTTTAAGATCATCCTTTAACAGCTGGAGTAATGAAGATGACAAATTCACATTGTATATATATATATATAGACGGACATATCTTACAAGGACAAACTACATTCGTTTGAAAGAATATTATTCTACATTAACTCCATCTTATCAGGTCTCTGTGGAACAAACTCATTCAAAATGAGGGTGTTTTTTACAGAGTCAGAGCAGATGTGTAACGAATGGAGATAAGTTGATGAAGAAAATAAAATGTTGATACCCGTAAACTTGAAACGGTTGCGAGAATTGATGGTGAATGTGCGTTGATGTGTCGGCGGTACAGTCATCTCTATGAAAACCATGTGTGTTTGGAGAATAAAGAGTTCACAGACCAAAAACCTCAATTCTCCAAGGCTCTATGCTGTTAAAAGAGACAAGTGCACTGCAATCTAATTATATATGTTTATTATTTCATTCGACTTGGCAGAGTGCCAACTTTAAATATCCTGCGACAAACGTACGTTTGATTGGGATCAATGTTAAGCATATTGTATTAACAGGTTCACGGTGACGGGATTCTGCTCCTGCCTGACAATCATACAAACATAACCAGCTAGTGTCACATAGACATAATCAGCTAGTGTCACACAGACATCACCAGCTAGTGTCACACAGACATAACAGGCTAGTGTCACAAACACATCACCAGCTAGTGTCACACAGACATAACCAGCTAGTGTCACACCGACATCACCAGCTAGTGTCACACACATAACCAGCTAGTGTCACACGGATATAACAAGCTAGTTCCACACGGATATAACCAGCTAGTGTCACGTAGACATCACCAGCTAGTGTCACATAGACATTATCAGCTAGTCACGGATATAACCAGCTAGCTAGTGTCACAACGACATCACCAGCTAGTGTCACACACATAACCAGCTAGTGTCACACGGATATAACAAGCTAGTTCCACACGGATATAACCAGCTAGTGTCACATAGACATCACCAGCTAGTGTCACATAGACATTATCAGCTAGCGTCACACAGACATCACCAGCTAGTGTCACATAGACATTATCAGCTAGTGTCACACAGACATCACCAGCTAGTGTCACATAGACATTATCAGCTAGTGTCCCACAGACATCACCAGCTAGTGTCACAGAGACATAACCAGCAAGTGTCACAAAGACATCACCAGCTAGTGTCACACAGACATAACCAGCTAGTGCCACATGGACATTATTAGCTAGTGTTACACTGACATCACCAGCTAGTATAACACAGACATCACCAGCTAGTTTCACACATACATTACCAGCTAGTGTTAAAGAGACATTACCCGCAAGTGTCACTCGGATATAACCAGCTAGTGTCACACAGACCCTACCAGCCAGTGTCACACAGACATTACTAGCTAGTGTCACAAAGACATCACCAGCTAGTGTCACACACACATAACCAGCTAGTGTCACACGGATATAACAAGCTAGTTCCACACGGATATAACCAGCTAGTGTCACATAGACATCACCAGCTAGTGTCACATAGACATTATCAGCTAGTGTCACACAGACATAACCAGCTAGTGTCACAAAGACATCACCAGCTAGTGTCACACAGACATAACCAGCTAGTGCCACATGGACATTATTAGCTAGTGTTACACTGACATCACCAGCTAGTATCACACAGACATCACCAGCTAGTTTCACACATACATTACCAGCTAGTGTTAAACAGACATTACCCGCAAGTGTCACTCGGATATAACCAGCTAGTGTCACACAGACACT